TTTAAACGGATTTCTACAAAAAGTTTCTATTCCTGGGTCTGTATTACGAGATATAAATATTTTGAGCAATAATAAATACAAAAAATTCTGCTAATTTACTTGCAATTTTGGCTCAACAATGATTAAATACGAACCCATAGGCTTATTTCAAATTTATACAAATCGTAATCAACAATTTTTTTGTTGTTATCTTGATTTAGATAATTTAATGAGTACTATCTTAATTTTGTTTACAAACTTTATCGATTTAAGTTTATTGATATTTTTGAAAAACGATATATAATATTATAATAAACGACTTCTATTAATAAAATATTATTATTATGACACCAAGTGAGGGGACGAACAAATCGAGTGCCTGGTGTTAAGGAGCACACACGCCTGTTTATAACAGTTGCAGTGCCGCTCAGCGCTTTAAATCGTCTGATCTGAGGGGCACTGTCACTACGCCCGTCACCCTGAGACATAAGACTTGACCTGAGTCTACCTTTACAGACACGCGCGATTTTAAGCAGCGATGCAAACACGATGTAAGCGCGCGACTGCGTCGATACAAATACGCAATTGCATCGCTACACTTGGGATTTATAGGCGATTGCATCGATGTAATAGCGCGTTCGCATCGATGCAGTTGCGCGTTTGCCTCGATGCAATCGCCTATAAATCGCAAGTGCAGTAATGCAATCGCGTGTTTCACAGACGCGCGTTTGCATCGCTGCTACAAGACGCCGTGTGTAACCATTCTATGTGCCTGTAATTTCACTAGCACCCTAACCCTTCAAAACTGAAACGTAGTAATGCTCACATTACTGCTTAGCGGTAGAAATAGGTAAAGTTCTTCCTTGGACGAACTTTTTCACAAATACCTCTTCTGCTACTAAAATAAAGACGGTTCTTCTGTCGTAATAAGTACATTAATGGTAACAGGTGTGTATTTGTATCTGTCAAAGATGTGAATAGGTGTACAAAGGTACTGATAATTACTAGCGCAAAATGTAGTCACTCTTTTTTTATTTCAGGACATATAGGTACTATGAATATTTTATAAAAATTTAGTTGAACTGCTGCCCTTTCACTCTCTTTAAGTATTCATATTCAATATTCCATTCATGCATTTCTCGTTTTACAAGTCAACGACCAGATGCCATATACACAAGTGGATGCAATTGACCCGATTAATTTCTTGATCACAAAATGATGTATGCGGTCCTAAAGCGTTCTTGGACCGTGGTAAAATAATCACGCTCTATTTATTTTGTTTATGAAGATGGTAACAAATGAATAGTGTATCGCAGGGTAAGTTCTTATCAGCAAAGTTATTTTTCTAAAAATGACATTAAATCTAATACACTCATAGCAGATGATTGCAAAACTTTATGGTACACTTCAATATTAAACCGATTTTGTTATCACTATCTACTAAAAGTAGTTATAAAAATTTATATTCTGATCAATATTTTATATACGACTGTATCTGAATGTCGTTTTGGTTGATACTTCATAGTAAGTCAGTAAAGGGTTCCGTGATTTTATTCACAGAATATCTAGGTGTAAAGGCGACAAACGCCGAGGTAAAGGAAATCCGCAAACTTTGTTAACCTAAACAAACAAAAACTACTACAAATACTTATCCAAACTTTTGGAATTGTTTGTAAGCCGTGCAAACTCAAGTATTTGCGCTTACTTGTTTGGTATTCCGTAGACGGAGGCGCTATATGCGGCTCTTTCAAAGAATACTAATGCATTTAGTTACTAAAACATTTGTAAACATCAAAGTTAAGTACCATAGCAGCAAACGTATTAACCTATTTTGCGTGTGGTGGGAGCACGGTCCTATACGTGCCACTCAAGCTCCTTCAGGAGTCTCAGCAGCCTCCTGGGTTTGCTGAAACCTTCGGGGAGCGACCTCGGCACTCCAAGGTATTTCGCCCTGTAGTTGGCCACGACGGAGCATTGTAGTAGGATGTGCGCGGCCGTTTCCTCCCTTCATGCATGACCCGTTAGTCGGTTAGAGTGCGAAGCCTTTGGAGTTTGACTAATTTTCGAGATAGACTGGCGTTGAGCATTGGGAGTACTTCCCTAGCCTGTCTACAAACCGTAAGTTTAACTTACGTTTAACTTAAGTTTAACCGTAAATTTAAGTACTACATTATCCTTTGTTTTATTATGAGAAGATTTTATACCTTTGTGTATGGTTGTTCTTGACCATTGGTAGTGGAGGAACACTGGGTTCTGGGCCTACAGCGTCCGTCTCCGGGCCTTTTCTGGCCAGGTCATCTGCTGCGTCATGCCATGTGAGCCGCTGTGTCCTCTAATTAATGTAGAGTTATGTGGTTGTGTAGGTAGACATACCTCCATGAGTGCTTGATGACATTCATAAATTATCCCTGAGTATATGTCATAGGCGCTCAGTGCTTGAAGTACTGACTTGCCGTTGGAGAGTATTCGTAGTTAGAGTCGATATTACCTCAGCTTGAATTCATATTTTTCCTGCACTATACGGTTCATTTTGCTTGGGATGAGCGGCTGGGACACTGGCTTTATTTCAGTATTTATTTTTTTACAAAAGAAATTAGAGCCATTTGAAAAATGTATATCGTACCTATACGTGTTCTATTTAGTTCAGTTGGTAAAAAAAAACAGTGTCATGTAAAATTCCTATTAAATACAGCGGTTTTCTTGTGAAATTTTGATGTAAGTTTCTGTTTTTTTTCTATCGTGAAAATTTTTAGGAATAGTGTTTTTACACCGTATAGTAAATCAGTGTATGTTCGCAATTTTACTATATATTTTTTCCAAAGTTATTGATTCAACACTTTCTGTTATGCAGAATCAACCAAATCTATTTCTTAAGTAACTGTTTAGTAAATATAGTATAGTTAAGCAGTCACTACATTAATGCGGAATAGGTTTGAGCTAGTGAGAATTTTTTTTTTGTGTAATGCAATAAGAGCGAAAGAGACGTTCGCCTTTTGCTCGGACCGCCGACACGAAACGCGTAACGTCTTGTTGGTACTTATTGGATGGATGAAAAGCATTTTCTGATCGACTGCGAACACGATTCAGTGCTGATAAGTGTGGTGACTTCTTTACAGATTTCATAGCATTATATGGCCGTCAACTCGTGACTAAGGTGTGAGAAGTCGCTCTGAAAAATGTCGACATAGCACTAGATTTCTCACAGGTAGCGCTACGGGATAAAAGCTGTTTGAAATGAAAACAAAGACCGTCAACAAGCACATTGACAGATTCGTGAGGTCTGCTGATTTGTTCCGTAGCTCCGATGGGAGAGAGGCTCCGGTCTGACAAACAGGCTCTGTTTCAATTTTTCTTTGTGTTTACCTGATCTTTGTATCAACAATAACATAAAATTAAAGAGGTATTTTCACAAAAACCAAATATGTAAAATCATCATGGTATGAAATATAATATTAGACTGACGTTTTTAGTTTATTGATGGAAATCCACCAGACGGTTGATGATTTATTGCACATATGAGTAGTTTTCTTGTAATATATCGATTTAATTTGGTATTAATATTTTATATAAATGGCTGAAAATTAATAGACTGTCTGGGAAAGACAAGTCTATTAATTTTTTCGATAATTTTGTATAGACGAAGGGCACTGGGCCCCACGGGCCAAGGGTTTCGACTCCAAAGGCTGTAGATAGGTAGTCGGAGCCGAGATCCTGGTACTTATTGCTTTTTATTCTTTCTGCCAGCTCAGCTGTGGAGCCAGCCCTCTTGCTGGTATACTGGAGATGGGATGGGACAAGTGTGTCGTCTCACACCAGTGCCCGGCCCATAGTCCAAGGGATGAGAGTCATTCCGTCCGGACGTTTGCCATCTGTTCGCGACATGCCGCTTGGGTCGAGAATAGCGGGCACGTTAACGTGGCTAAGGCCCGGCGGATGATGTCGTTGAGGGCTGTATGCCGGGAGATACGGCAGGCGCTCAGCTGGCAGGAAAGACCGTGGTAACACAGAGCACTTGCGTCTTTGCCGCAAGGTCACCGAGGCGGAGGCCTGCAGCTATGCGAATGGTCTCGGCGGCGGCGGTCAGGAAGGTATCGGTACTGGCAGATTTAGATTTATATAACATTTTCCATGACATTAAGTGCCTAACAGAGAAGACAAAAATTTCTAGTTAAAGTGAAGTGAGACCCAACATAGACGTTTTGATGTATTACGACCAAATGAAATTCAATTTGTTTTCTAATTGATAATAAAAGATACCGGTAGTGAGCTACGGGGTCCGAAACACTATTGATTAACTTCCCTCGATAAAAAAAATCACAAAGTTCTATTAACTTTTAAAAATTAACATTTTTTACTGCGATCATCGAAGAAAAAATGAGCTTCACACGATTGTTATTAGGGACATTTCATGAAACTCCCCTGTATTCCATAATAAATACACCAGAGAACTACGAACTTATTTTACAGTAAGAGAGTATATTTTATTTCTAAAAGACAAATGTTTAAATATCGTACAATGAATTTCTTAACGTTACCTCATGTTTCAAAACCTACGCAACTACGATACCATTTCGCCTTAAAGATAGAATATTCCACCGTTTCATCTTGGGGAATCATTTCCAGGACGTTGGCAAAGCTTCAATTTTGGAAAGCTCGGTTTAATATTTGGCGGTAATAGCTTCCAGCTTTCTTGTCGCCGTAAGCATCAACGAGAAGAAGTAGAAGAAAAGAAATCCCATTTCAATAAATTTGTAAACTACTATGTAATATTTAAATTTATCATCGACCTTGACTTTAAGGTAAACTAGACAATTTATTAAAATTGTCTACGTTTATAGCCTCATTGATGAAACGAGTATTAAAACAAGTAGGAAGTAAAAAACCACAAAATACTTATCTTAATTGCTGTTTATTTCCCCTAAATTATTGAATAGTCAATTGCATAATAATACTTATAAAAAAATGTGTTTTAGTTACAATGACAATACTGTAAACAAAAAGTTTATATGAAAAAATGTACGTGGTCGTAGGTACAATGGAACGATGCTAATTTTTTTCCAGTTTCTCAATTATATGAAGACATATAAAATCGACGAAGCGTGTCCACGAAACTATTTTACTGTCACCAAGTTTCAAATCATCTATTAAGAATCGAAACAGCACTCCCTTCAGTGTCTGAAAGAAAGAAAAAAGACCAGTTTTAAAAGCAGAAAAGTAATGTAATCAAGTACGCTACCTTGAAAAACACCTTTTAGCGAATCGCAACAGTCGCTACAAATTGTCTTTGTAAATATATATTTTATACAGTCTTTTACTACTTTAGTTTTGATGGAAATTCTAAATTGAAATATACTTATTTCTAACGCCTTTTTCTTTGTTATTATCATTGTTGTTTCTGTTTTCGTTGTAACTGTACACATTCCTTGGTCTTGCTCGCTCCTCAATAGCACCCGAACTCCATTGATACAGACCGCTACACACCTCATACACCCATCATCACATATACCTACATTTTTATATACTTCTTAAAAATTTCACCTAAAAATCTCACATTTTCATCTTTAATAGAAATACCTACGTTAAAAAGCTTATTACTACGTTAAGAATATATTTTATTTGGGTCATCCGGATGCATACATGATTTTCTTTTCCAAACCGCTAACAATTAAATAGATATTAATAATACAAAGATCAGAAAAAAACCTTCGATCAGGATTCGAACCGACGTCTTCTAGCATGTCGTGCCAGACGCTATACCAACTAAGCCACGGAACGAACCAGCGGACCTCACGAATTTTTCTATGTGCTTGGGTCGTATCTTTGTATTTGGTTTTTCAACGACTTTTTAGCCGTAGCGCTATTTATGAGGAATCTATGATGTTTCGTCACCCAGATACCTTTACAGCTACGAGTCCCGGCTCGAGATGTCGCTATTAATTAATTAATAATCAGACTAATTTTACATAAAAATAATTAAAAAATAATTAATTAAAAATATCAATGCAATAAAAATTTAAATTAAATAGAATTCGAGTTCTTTGGTTTTCGCGATTGTTGCACATAGGAAATGAAATTCTTTTTCCGGATTTAAATCGCGTATATTTGTTTTTTCAAACAAACCGACATTTCGGGCCCTTTACAGGTCCCATGGTCACGGTTGACAAATATACGCGATTTAAATCCGGAACAATAGTTTCATTTCCTATTAAATAGATATTTCATTAAATTACGCATTTCCCACTGTTCCCTAAGTAATACTTATAATTACTAATAGTAATGGTAATACTTGTACTTATGAATCGATACTACCTCAGCTCGAATTCAATTATTTCCCGTACTGAATCGGTTCTGTAGCACGGATCGAGTGGCAGTGACACTGACTTTATTTCAGAGTTTATTTTATTACAAACGAAATTAAAGCCATTTAAAAAATGTATATAGTATATAATTCAGTTGATATGAAAAAAATCATTGGTATATGTAAGGTACCTATTGAATACAGTGGTTTTCTTATCAAATTTCGAGATAAGTTTGTGTTTTTTTTCTATCGTGAAAATTTTTAGGAATCGTGTTTCCCCATCATATATTAATCTGGGTGTATTCTCAATTTTACTATATATTTTTTCCAAAGAGATTGATTTAACACTTCACTGTTATACGGAATCAACCAAAGTCATTTGAGGTTGTAGCTACTATTAATAGTAATACTTATAAATAGGGTACATAAACTTTTTCAAGATACTTATTACTACAAATATCGGACACAAAGAAAAATTCGTTCGACCTGACAGGATTCGAACCTGTGTCTATTTAATTATTATTAACAAACCAGTGGATTAATTCCGCAAGATCAAATGAATGTCATGCCAGTAAAACATCATAATATTCATTACAATCAATATTTTTCAAAGTACCTCACATTTTACCTTCATTCACTAATTGCCTCCGTGGCAGAGGTCCCAGGTTCGATTCCCGGGCCGGGAGAGGGAGAAATATTACTATGGCCTACATTTATTTCTCTCGTGAGTTTGGGTGTAATTTGTGATTGTCTATGTGTGTGTCCATGGCACCCGCGACACACGGTTTCCCTAGTGCGGGGCTATGTTGAGTGTGTACGTTATTATTATAATTATTACCTTAAAAGGTATGAAATATCTAATTATGACTAAATGAGAGCTCCTTGACGTACACCTTACCGTCTTTGTTTATTTGACTACCATGCAATAACATATATTATTTTCTATTTTATGAAACTTTCTACAAACCTCAAAATCCTTTTCTTTTACATGACGCTTGTTATGCGATTCGCCAAGTTTATTCATCATAGCTATCACAAGTTCGGGTTCCTTAAGATTGAGTATGGCCATATTGAATGCTGACATAAAATTGATCACATGAGCTCGAAATTGCATGCTTTGAGATAATTGATCATCGTCCAGTTGGCGAAACTGCTTGAAGTAGTTCTTTATATCCGGATTCTTGTGGAACAATCTAAGATTAAATAAAAAATATAAGTATTTAAATAGAGTACTTAGATGTTGGTATAATACAATTCACTAGTATGCGAACACCTTTGCTTATTCAAACGCATTTTCATTGTTTATATGCACGGTCATACTTCTCTACATTGAATGTATGTAGATTTATAATCATACGTTTCTCTTTACTTTCTAATATATACGTCCAAATGTATTATAGTACCGTCCCGTATCTATGTATCAGAGCAGGACATCACGGCCTATCGCGTGAATTATTAAATGAATACTTCTGGGTAAGTGCGCTTATCGATTCTTGCTTACGAAATGTACTTACTTACTTGCCTATCTAAATGAGTTGTCGTTCTGAGAATTATTTTGAGAAGCGTATTTATGTTTTAATTCATAATGATAAGAGTCACACACAACTGCTTTAATTACCCATTTAGTACTTATAAATAATCTTACTATAATGAATTCCACCTACTGCGAGTATCGGAACGACGAATTCAATGCTTTTGCACCATTCCGAGCACCGAGAAACGTATATTGGTGCGTACAGATATGGCAAATGCGCCGCAAATGCGCCTGTTTGCAAATGACTCGCGAGCTGCGCATGTGCATTACGTATACATCTATAGGGCTAGCACGACAAGACACGACTTGCGCGAGAGCGACATAAAGCGCGGGATCTCTATGCGAGAATATCAGTATCTCGCGCTTCATGTCGCGCCCAATTGTGCTAGCCTTACTGTTTGCGTGCCTTTCGCGCGCCTCAGCTCGCGCGCCTTTTTGCGCGATGCATTGAACAGGGACATTACCATGAACTCTTATTACGATCCAGTTTAGGACCTAAAATGAATCGTAGTGAGACAGCGCTACGTGAAGTGTATGTCACCATCCCGCTTTGTTGTCGTTGCGAACCTATACTCAACTGTAATAAGAGTTCAAGGTAAGACGCTGTACGCACGTAGCACGCTTGCAGCGTACATGCAGTGCGTCCGCGGCGCATTCGCCAAATCTGTACGCATCCCAACACAAACACGAATGTATTTTTTCCGAATTCCATTATTCCCGGTTCGACTGTTTTCATCCATAAATTTGTAATACAGAAATATCTTATGGTTTCATTCATTCATTCTTATAGCAGAAATATAGCTTTCAAAAAATTATTATCACAATAATTATTACGTATGTATTCTTTTAACAGAAGTTTGTTTATTTATTCATGTTTATCCTACTGTCTGTTTTGCATATAATTTAGATTCCACATATATCTAATTTGGCCAGCAGATTAAGCTACGCAGTTCGCAGAATACGTGAGCTTACCGATGTTGGTACAGCTAGACTAGTTTAGTTACTTCTATAGTATAATATCCTATAGGATTCTCATGTCGGGTAAAGCGGCAGATATATAAATCATATTTGTGTTGCAAAAACGAGCTATTCGTTCTGTGTACCGTCTAGGCTCTCGGGTTTCTCTTAGAGAAAAGTTTAAGGGAACTGGTATTATGGCTGTGGCATCACAGTACATTTACTCAAATATTTTATATGCACGTAAAAATATATATAAAGAAGATCCATTAACCTTAGAAACTAAGTACAAACACATGGTACCACGATTTTGTTTAACTAAGGCAAACGATTATTTTATGGGGAACTGTATACGTTTTTACAATAAGATTCCGGAGCATATATTACATTATTGTAACAATTCTCTTACGTTAAATACTAATAAAACAAACTACATCTGTTTTAGTATAAATAATGATACTCAGCCTAAAAATAATGCAAAACCACAGGTAACACCAGTAACTGCACATGCCCTTCTATCATTCGAGTTGCACAATCAAAATATTTGGGTTTTCTTGTGGACCAGCGACTCTCGTAGTATCCACACCTCGAACATGTTATTAAAAGAGTAAGAAAACTTAATTGGATTTTTAAAACACTAAGATATGTAGTGCCAAGACCAGTCGCTGGTCCGCGAGTCTCGTCATCTAGGGATATACTTAAGAAAATATACGTGGGTTTGGTTCAATCTGTATTGATTTATTGTATTCCTGTATGGGGTGGAGCTGCTCGTTTTCTCGAGTTGGAACGTGCGCAACGCAATTTGCTTAAAATAAAGTATTTAAAAAAAAGACGATTTGCCACTAGCAGTTTGTATCAACTATCAAATTTAGCCGCTGTAAGGAAACTCTACATCATTCAAACTGTACTCAGACAACATAGGTCTCTAAAATATGATCTAAATATTTCGAAGAGGAGAAGGAAAGACATTGTGGTACAAGTACCTAAAGTAAATACAACATTTGCAAACAGACAATTCAGCAAACGATCAGCCCATTTGTACAATTCAATTGATAAGGAATTAGAAATATACGCCAAAAGTTGTAGAGACTGCAAAAAAGTTGCATCAAAATTGCTACAGTCGAAATCGTATGAGGAAACCGAAGATCTATTAGAACACTTGCTTTAAAAGCACTACTTTCCTAATCTATGGCAACAGGTTAACACACATACACACAGACACCCCTCCCACACACACACATACATACATACATACACACACACACTCACTCACTCACTCACACATACATACATACACACACTCACTCGCATATACATACATACATACACACTCACACACACACACACACACACACACACACACACACACACACACACAC